AGTGTGTTTGTTACTCTCTTGAAACACCTCAAATCTTCGGCACTTATTTCATGACCTGAGTTTTGCAATAGCCATACTCTTACTAATGTAATAACGATTACCGTCTCCATCATCATCATCGTCGTAATCGTAATCGTCGTCGTCGTCAGCAGCAGCAGCAGCAGCAGCACCACCACCACCACCCATCATCACCCATCATCACACATCATCATCATCCGTCATCATCATCGTCATCATCATCCTTCTAATATTGTGTCATTCTTATTTTCCAGGTGAGTGAGCAAGCCGCCAGCACCCAGTGTTGATGTGTTGGGGCTCGAGTCGCCCCTTCACTCGCCTCTACCCCAGCGCACAGTCTCTGTGCCAGGCTCGTTGTTGTGTCGTCCTATAGATCACACGGTGCACCCACAGAACGCCCCTTGTGTCGGGCGTGTGTTAAATCACGCGGTGCACCCACAGGACGCCCCTGTGTTGGGCCGTGTGTTAAATCACGCGGTGCACCCACAGGACGCCCCTGTGTTGGGCTCGTGTGTTAGGCAATAACTTGATTTGTGTATGCCTCTGTGACGTCACAGCAGGGAGAGCTATAATAGGGAAGGTGTCGGACCACCACTAGACACATCACCAAGTTGTGCACCAAGAGGTGGTAGTGTACCACAAGTGGAATAATTTCCCCCCCCTCACGGGTGTGGGTTCACCAAAGGGAACTCGCTACCACAGGAATTATTGTTCTCGTGGATTTGTGAGTCCTATATTCCAAGTTCTGTCAACTGTTTCGATGTTGCTCTAGTTTTTCTCTAATAGTTTTTCCCCTTTAAATTGGCACTTAAAGGACCAAAATTGAGTCGATCGTGGCGTACAACACCTACTCAATCAATCAAACATTCCCTTTTAAAACCGTTAATGTGAGGCAGTGTGGTGGAATCAGGCTCTCGTCAAAATAATCAAAGTGAAGAAACTTGCATTTTTCTGCAGGTTTGTAAATTTTTTTCAAATTTTTGTTTTTTGGCTCAACACCTTTCATGCCCATTAAAGAACTCATTTCGGTGTGGATTTTTCTGAGAAACATTGATTAATGGCACAAAAATGTAAATTTTCAGTTACCATGGACTCTTAAGCTAAGGAAATAACTAATCTTTGGCGGCCATTTTCTCCCTAATTTTACCTCTGAAAACAGGTGGCCCCCACCTCCTTCTTTCGCATATATCTTGACTTGTATTCAAGATAAATGGATATTTTTTTCATCCA